ATTTATCCAAGGATTTCAACTATTGCAGACATTTTCTATAAACACTGGTTTAGCATACTACTATTCTCTGTACTTTATTGATACTTTCTAGTCACACGCAATGATACCTTATTTATCCAAGGATTTCAACTATTGCAGACATTTTCTATAAACACTGGTTTAGCATACTACTATTCTCTGTACTTTATTGATACTTCCTAGTCACACGCAATGATACCTTATTTATCCAAGGATTTGAACTGTCCCCTGAAGCATGAGGACAAACAGAGTTTCACTGTAATAAGTTCATCCTGTGTATTGATCTTTCACCGATGTTAAACGTTTAGTGTGAAGTATGTGACAGATTTACAACTGTGATTTTAATCTGTTACTACTGAATCTTGGGTCTAACAATACTGTTCAGTACACAAAGATACATTTAGAATTATCACACCAATCCAACCAACCTTATCAGTTCAGGTTTCTAAATTAATACTTACAGCTCCTGAAGAATGTTTCCCCCAGATAAAGAAGTTTAGAAAGAAACAGGTACCAAATACAATCCCGGGGTAGAATGTGGCAGTCTACAAATGAAGTACACACAAAGTTAGTGAATATTCTGGTTCAAACAGTACAAGTATGAAACAACTGAAGAGAAGGAAGATCACCAATATATTTCATTAAAAGAATAATTAGTTCACACAATAACCATTCAAAACAATGTCCTTTTCTATATCCCGATTGTACAAATGTTAAAAGATGCCTGATTATATCTTCATCATTAAAGATGTAAAGCTGGCGAGTAAAAATATCTGCTTATACCCATTATAAAATCTGTTAAGGCCTTCTTGACAATTTATATTAGCTAGTTATAGAGTAGACATGATTTCATGTTGTATATGCGGAAAAATATTGAGTACAAGATAATGTTCACTGTATAAGATGCTGATCAGACTTGAAAGATTGAGTTCATATTCAAATTAAAGAGGATGTTCAGTTATTTGAGGATCCAGAGAAGAGTTACCGAGATAATTCAACGTTTGGGAGAATTAGCCTATGGGGATGGACTGAATTGTTTTTTTTTTAATTTTGCACAAAGCTACACGAGGGCTATTTGCATTAGTTGTCCTTAATTTAGCAGGGAAAGACTAGACGGAAGGCAGCTAGTCATCACCACCCACCTCCAACACTTGAGCTACTCTTTTACCAACGAAGTGGGATTGACCATAACATCATAATCCCCCATGGCTGAAAGGACGAGCATGTTTGGCAGGATGGGTATTCAAAACCACGATCCTCAAATTGCGAATCGAGCACCCTAACCACCTGGCCTGAGCTAAAATCCCTTGACATATTTTTGCTCGAGATGAGAAGTAATTAGGGGCAGATAATTAAGGATTTTAAGCTTGTTAGATGTTTAGATCTCATAAATCCAAATTACATTTTTATAAAATTGACAGCTGATACGAAGACTAGAGGACACAAATTTATGGAATGGAAAACTCATATGACTCCAGTTTCTAATAGAATGATTGGACCAAGGAATACTTTGTCTTCAGGAAGCTGCTACATTAAACGAGTATTAAATAAGTATTTTACAAATAAAGTTTGGATATAATAAAAGGGACTTCTCGATGTAGTTTGGAGTTGGAGCTAGATCAGACACATTTCTAATAAAAGGGATTTCTCTATGTAGTTTGGAGTTGGACCTATATGGGACACATTTCTAATAAAAGGGATTTCTCTATGTAGTTTGGAGTTGGACCTATATGGGACACATTTCTAATAAAAGGGATTTCTCTATGTAGTTTGGAGTTGCACTGTAATACACAACATTATTAGACATTATATCCTAATGTTGTATGTTACATTGATATTATATCTTAATGTTGTGTATTACATGACATCATATCCTAATGTTGTGTATTACATAGACATGATATCCTAATGTTGTGTATTACATAGACA